TTTTGTGTAAAAAGAAAAAAGTGTTTACAGGCCACTATGGGGCTTTAAAAGTTAAAAATTCACAAACAGGTTGTATGTTAAGGTCACATAATAACAACAGTGGGTTCTAGAGCTTCCCACTTGCAATAGTTTAGAAGAGATCTGAAACAAACGTCATGATGTAAAACAGCAGGTTTATCTGTCTGTCAGGGACCACTTGTATTTTGCTTGGACATTCTGGATTAGAACAACAAATGAGTTCTTTTCCAGTTATTTTCAATTTACATTAATCCACTGCCAAATATAGGAGCTTGTTAAAACTTTAATATGTGATTTTACTGGGGCACAGCAGATCAATACTGGCGCACGTGCCCCAGTAAAAGGGGTCTAACGACACCTATGACACAGGCACGGAGGAAGTCCTTTGCTTATATAACAGTAGAACTTGCATAATAAAGAGAGAGTGGGTAACAGGAAAAGGAGCAAACAAAGGCATATAGGACAGAAGAAGGGGTAGATGTAAATATACAGTGTTTAACCACACAGCACTGGGATCCCACAAGGAGTCACAAAGTTTGGGAGATATTTCTCAGACCGATATATTGACATTTGTTTATTGTGTTTCCATCCTCCCTACTAAATCTAACCTAAATGAATCTTGGGAGACAAAGTTGGGGTTTATTTATTTAATTTACTTCAGAACCTCAGTATCTGCTTTGTATTTTGTGTGTGTTGCTGTCGGTTGCTGCTGTGTGTCAGAGCAGTGGGTGGTCTCATCTCCACCTGTCTGCAACACAAACCTGCCTCTGCTCTTTCATTTTCTTCAGCATCTCTGCATCAGGCTTTCATTAACAGCAGCCTGTGCAGTTCTCGAAACCCCTTCACTGGTAATCTGTCTTTAACTGGTATCTGCGGTTCCCCAGTGTCCCCCAGTCCCCTTCTCTTCACCTTATAGCTACTGCTTCACTTTAAAAGACCCACAGAGGACAGATGATGGAGGGGAGAGATACAATATGAAGGGCTGTGTGAGGAGAAAGTGTCTCCTGAGGGCTGTGGCCTGTGATGCTCACACACACATACTGCGTGACGTCACCACTATCACATGCACATGCACAGTTTGACTTACCAACGTGTCCTCACCCCGACCTGACTACACAGTGAGGATGCACATGTACAGACAGATACAGTATGCACACACGTCTCTAAATAGTTCACATGGATGATTCAAACACACACAAATGATTTTATTATGTTACAGAACAGTTTTAATACACAGTGTCTGACTCCTGAGTGTGTAATCACACACTTCTAATTGATCGGGTTTGTCCGTGACTGCCACTGAGGGCAGACCGTTACCACAGCGCATGAAGGAGCACAAGCACACCGCTACAAAACCCTCGACCTGTACGTTGAGTATATCATACTTGAGAGAGAGAGAGAGATACAGAGGGGGGTGGGGGGGGATTGGGGGGGCAGAGAGAGATGATAGGAGAGTCTTAAATAGAGAAGAAACTCAGCTGGAGAATGTGAGAAAAGAGGGGAAAAGGAAAAATTACCTCTGAGCAGAGGCCCGTTAGTAGCAATGTTGGCTATTACACATGGCTCATAACAAATAAATCAGATAAATGGAAGTTACTTTTACACATACGGCCTTTCTAGTTAAAAATGTGTGTATTATGGTGTTAACGACTGATCTCACTGCAGGGCTTACAGCAGCAAAGCACAACTCGGTAACGAAACACAGCAAGTTCAGACACTGAGAAAAAAAGAGAATACAAGTCTGTGATTAAATCACCAAGAAGGTTGTGCACAATATACAGTATGCAAGACATCATATAACATGGAAACACACACAATACTCACATTTGGAATATATTGTGTCTGCACTTTACTTATGTCCTCCCTATTTTTCTTCTTCCCTCTGCCACAGTTTCAGAACCCTTATAAGTACTCGCCTCCATTCCGTTTTGGGACCGTTCCTAACGGATCCACAGAGAGGAACATCAGAAAGAACTACCCTGCCATGCACCAGTACATGGTGAAATATCATCAAACCGGAGTTCAGGACGCACTTGTCAGCCTCAAATCCGGGTAAGGAGACACAGTCTGTGCCTTGTTGCAATAAGCACTCTTTATACGATGTCACTAATTCTAAGTATTCACTTGTCAACCTCAAAATACTGTGTGTACCTAACCATGAATGTGCACGTAATGCTATGTCTGTGAGTGTACTTGCTGTCAAACGCTCCTCTCAACAATGTGAGAGTGTTGGATGGATAGAAAAGTGGCAATAAAGATGGTGAAAAGAAAAGGACGCTGGAGAGGCAGAGGGGTAACACATCACTCCATCATGTGGAAAAAGGGTGGGTCAAGAAGTCAAGGGCAAAACCAGAGAAGAAGTAAGTGGAATGAAAAAGGGAGGGTAATGGAAAAGAAACGAAGGGGAAACTGAGGGGCCAGGAAAGGAAGGGTGGAAAGAACCTGAGATAAAGGACTAAAGGCTGATGAGAGGAGATGACAAGAAGTTATTTCAGAGCTCCCTGCTCCAAGGCCAGGAAGGACAGAGGGGAAACAAGAAATACACACCCAATAAATATGAGAGAATTCCAAATATATGATTTTTATACAGTATTGTTTTTAAGCTAACTGTCTTCTATCCATCATAAAGAAACTGGATGTAAATGCATGCTTATAAATAAACACACATTCATGTATATCTGTGCACATAAAGCTAGCAGCAGGTGTGTGCACCTCATTGAAAGTTCTGGTCTGTGTAGTAGTAGATGAGCAGTTCGGGTGCGATGACTGGATTGGCTCTGATGCTGACAGGCTTTATATGCAAAGTCCATTACAAGCACAAGAACAAAACTTTGAGCAATGGAATTTAGCTACTGTGATCAGATTTCAGGCCCTAAATTACTCTCAGAACTAGCGATTTTTAAAATAGCATTAAATTCATATTTGTTGTAAACAACAAGGCAAGGTGTGGTGCGCAAATTGACACCAGAACTGTGTGACTAAAACGTTGACTTATCAGCAGTGAGACCACTGTTTGCACAGGATGAATCCTAATGCAAAGGGCTCTGCAAAACAAATGCAGGGCTGTCTGAAAAACAACACGGATCATGTTTTACCCTTTGTCTCGACATTATCCAGCAACAAACTTCATTTACTAGGTGAATGTATGCAAGTGCACACTATCGGAAGGACTGCACGTACGTGTATTGTATACCACTGAAAAATGTCTGCATGCACATATCCATGGAGCAAAGGGGTTATTACTGTTGTGGTAAATTTCCACAGTTATAAAATCCTGCCGGAGTGCAAAGAGCCTTGGCATCTCATGAGCACTCAACCGGAACTGTTTGTGTTTCACTTTCTGTCTGGTGACCTGTAGCCACACCGACGCAGCAGCCCTCGAGTTTTTACAGTAACTGAAGCTGATTTCTAGCCATAAAATGTTTTGTTGTGGGTGTTTGTGGCTTGAAATTGGGATTTTAAAACAGCTTTACACATTAGGTATACGCATTTAAACCTCTACAAACGTTTTGATGAGAAGAACCATGAAATCATTTCACAATTTATGTCATTAGTGATTAGGATTTATAGTGTAGTTCTGCTAAAATGTTCTTTTTGGGTTCCAGATGTTATTTGTACAGAGGATTAACTGACAGGTTATGTGCTATACTGAAGAGTGGCCCTGTAGTGGCATAAAATAAAATTCAGAGTCACATTAAATGGTCATTTTGCAGACTTAAATGTGAAATTCAAAGGTATAGATCAAAAGTGGCAAGAAAATCTGTGCTGCTACATTTTATTCAGCCAAATAGAAGGTGGGACACATCAGTGATGGCTGAATCCTGTTCTAAACCATTAGAGCCGCAGTATGTCTGGCTGGCACCTACAAACATGCACACAAAAATCCTTGCTCACAGACACACACTAGTGCACAGCCACATCTGCACACTAACACACATACTGGAGTGCACACACACGCACCTGGTTCACCACATGTCTGGACACAGCCTGTGTGTGTGGATGGAGCCAGTGCTGGGTTAAGCTAATTACATAGCTAAACTATCAGCTGTGAGCCTCTGGTGGAGGACTGGATCTGACATTCAGTAAATGCCAGCCAGTCACTACACCATTAGCAGGGCTTTCTGTGTGTATATTTACTGTATGTGTACGTGCGTGTGTGTGTGTGTGGACACTGGGAGAGTGAGAGAGCAGCAGCCAGAGACAGCATCAGTTACACTGAAAATGTCAGCCTGAGTCTGGGATCTTTTACATTCTACTTTGCAACCTTCTTATTTATGTATGTGTGTGTGTGTGCGTGTGTTGATGTGTCTGAGGCAAAAAGAGAGGAAGGGTGTAAACGTTTGTGCCTATCTGAAGTTTGTTTAGGTCGTCCCTGTGCCTCTGAGGGCCTATCATCAGTGAAGCGTGCTGTATTGAACCACAGCCACTCCCTACTGTGTCCTCTGTGTGTTTGGATACGCCTGAATTGCAGTTCAATTGGAGATGATTTAACACTAGAATTGATCCGCAAATGATACATTCAGAAAAATAAGCCCCTCTTTTTACTGTCTCCTCTGTGCACGTCTCATTCACTCTCTTTAAAACAATTTGAAACTCCTCATGCTCTGACTTCTTCTCCTCCCCCTGGCTCTCTCATATGTTTCTCCTCCTGTACAGTAAACTGGATGCCTTCATCTATGATGCTGCAGTTTTGAACTACATGGCCGGCAGAGACGAAGGGTGTAAGCTGGTGACCATTGGCAGCGGGTAACTAAAGCCTTAACTAATTAAAATTACGCTTTCTCTGTGTGTTGTTTGCACGCCATGACAGACAGGCAACAAATAAAAAAAACAAACCAACGAAAAGTATCTCAATGAGGTGCTGGGTCTCCATGTGCCACCAGAACATCTTCAGTGCACATTGGCATTCCAAGTCTCTGACCTCTACCACACATCACTCCGACATCTCCCATAGCTGTTCAGCTGGGCTGAGACCTGGTGACAGTGAAGGCCACAGCATATGAGTCATATCATGTTCATTAAACCATTCAGTGACCCCTGATACCTTATGGATGGGGAGACATTTATGTGCATCATTATGCAGGTGGTATATCATAAAATGTTTTTAATATAAAAGTTAAAACATTTGTCTAAATGGTAAAATATATGTTTTGCGTGTTTGTTCAGGTACATCTTTGCTACCACTGGTTATGGCATTGCTCTACAGAAAGGCTCCTACTGGAAACGACAGGTGGATCTGGCCATCCTGGCTATTATTGGAGATGGTGAGAAACACGCTCATGTGGGATTCTTATATACAAATTCAAAGTGCATGATGACACCATCCACAAATGCAAAAGGTTGCACTGTTCCTTGCCAGCATTGCATTTCGTGTACACGCACACACACTCTCTCACATGCCCGTCTCTGCTGGCAGCACAAATGGAAAGCAGTGAAGTATAAATAGTCCTCTGATGAAAAGACCGCTCTAAACAGAGGGCGGAGTGTGTAAGTTATCCTAATATTTTTTTGCAGCACCAGATACATGTATGTTCATGTGTGTCAGCACTTTATTCTACCTGAAACACCACATCCCTTCATCACAGCGGTCTCAGAAGTTCTTACATAAACAATTTTCCTACTGCAAAACAAAGAAAAAGCGAGACAGCTCGAACTTTTAGTGACAGATTTATTTACATTTTACACTGAAAGCATTTTGCTGATGCGAGTGTTCACATTCACTCACATTAAGTGCACTGAGGTTGATTAAATGAACATTGGTGTCACAGTAACTGAATCTTATTAGGACTGCAGAGCATGCAGGCCACACTCCATCACAGCTTATGGCTGGATACATTTTGACAAAAATCAGGCTCGGTGTTTTTGTTTTGCTAGGTTTTTGATTCTCAGTTATTAATGCCATCAGTTCTTTTTATACTTGTAGTTTATTTTATGCAAATATAGACCGAGGATGCACACAATTTGTGCCATGTTTGCATTATGCTAATAACTCCGGTGTTGTGCTATTTGCATAATAATAAGATAAAAGTTATAAAGGGAAAAATAAAAGGTGAGAGAAAAAGACACCAAAGATGTTAAACGAGAGCGTGTGACAGAGCGAGAGGAAGCAGACTGAGGGGGAGACAGACAGTAAAAGCCCAGAGCCGGCGTGCTTGTGTGATGGCTAGAGAGAGGTCAAAGAGAAAACGGGATGAGAGGAAGACGATGAAACACAGTGTGTCAGCTAGAGCAAGAGGGATGGGGAGTGAGAGGAGGGCAGGTCCTTGATAGATGACAGTGACTCTGCATCTTGGCAGATGCTACTTGATCAAATAGACACAATGTGGGTGGAGAGCATAAAACCTTTCACGGACACAGGAGAGAGAGAGAGAAGATGTGTTTGAGGAAGGTGAAGAACATACAGACGAACAGGTGAAGAATAAAAACAGGCTGTTTTGAAACACACGGGTGGCACGGACACGGCTGAGGTCACATTTTGTCTTAAAGAGTTAAAAAATAAGATAATAATCCTGATTTCAAACCACACAATCTCGATCGAATGTCTTCATTTTGTTGCACCAGCAACAAAGTTTCTGAGCTTTCACAGTGCAGCGAGATTGTAATCCTAAATATCATACAGTCAATGTCAGGAACTATTTGTGTTCAGCCATTTATGAGGCGGAGAAAAGAGGATTTCAAAACGTTGTGTTACTCCACTCAAACTGAAGCATTTTTAAAAGCCACGAAAGTGTGGACGAAACTTGTAGAGACTTGTGTATTTGTGTTCCAACTGACTGGTCGCCAGACTATTTGCTCGAGCTGTCTGACTGCTGACAAGAGAGTGTAATTTGAATTTCAACAGTACTGGAGTCATGAGCAGCAGTGCAGGCAGCAGCAGCTCCCCACAGCTTTAACACCAACTGTGCTTGATTAATAAAAGAGACAAAGTGACCTGTTGATACCTAAAGATGACATTTCCTTAATTCTCTTCTGCAGCCAATTCTAAGCATGTCATAATGTCATATTAAAATGAAATTACCGTGGCTACTTCTGTTAGTATATTTGCAAATTCTAATCAGTTGTCCTAAAGGGTTAATGATGTCTTAGTGAGTCTGCACCCCCAGGACATCTAGCTGAACACCAACTTGATATTTGTCTTTCCCCTCTAGCAGCCTTAGTTATCCAGCCCTGATTGACAGAGATTGGATTAGCCACACACAAAATGTCACAGAGGAAACCGGGGATGGAAGGGGAACAGGGGAGGAACACAAGCATGACGAATGAGAAAAGATAAGGTCTTTGTTGCCTTCTACCATTCTTTCATTAAACTTAAAGGAACTATCTCTTTGCTCTATCAGCAAACACAGTGGAGACTGGAAGCCTATGGCCCCTGCCAAACCAAGTAATTAAAGACATGTCTTAGTATTCATCCTGTGAGGTGATGCGTTTCTTAAAACTAATTCTTCCCTTAAGCAGATTATGTATCCCTCTATACACCTGTTTTTAATTTCTTATACTCTTTGCAGATGATATCACCATTTACCTTCAACTTATTCAAAACAAATACACTGTGAAAAAGAAAAAGTTGAGAAAACTCAACATTTCAAGGTAAATGTTGGAGTAACACAATTACATTTATTTTTTAAGTTTGGATTTTGAGTTAATCCAACTTTGAATTTTGACCTCTGTTAACGTTAGAGTAACATATTATTTCATATTATCACAACTCCAAATTTTTGATTCTGTTAATTTACACAAGTTAAAGTAACTCAAATCTGTGCGATGTGTTCATTCAGAACTTTTGGTTTGCACCTAAATTTGGATTTATTTATTTTTTGTAGTTTAATCAGAACCTTCTGGTTTCTTTGAGACACATGTATAAAGAGAAAGTAAATGACTTCCATCGTGTAATTTTTTTTTTATATGACAAGAAAGAAGAACAATCTGGAGAATTTTAACTTTGACGAAATGCATGCTGGGAACTGCAGTATATGTAAATAAGCCAACAATGTGTCTAAATAACTTAATTTGTTAATTTAACAATTTTTTGTACATTTTGTCAACTGAATTCATGATTTTAAGTCACACCAAGTAAATTTGATTCCTGTATTCTCCAACTAAAGAAGATCAAGATAAATCACAGATTAAGATTCTAATTTATCAGGACTCACTCACTTTTGTTGAAGTAGCAGACAAGTCTGATTTGTTGGTACAATTTGATTTTTTCCTTGAATTACTGATTAAGTTTCTAAGTCCCATTAACTTAAAACTTATATATACCAATAAAAATAAGATAGACTTTTTTACAGAGGAAGATTTAAAGTGCAAGTAGATGCAGCTTGTAAAGGGTGTTTTAGGTGCATTCACAGTATATTCAGAAGTAATTCTAGCTGTCAGTTTCTGTTTCACCTGTAATATTATATATTTGCCTTGAAATTATTTGGATGAGGGTTTTTCAAATAGTAATGGATTTGTGTGTCTATATGTTTTTTTGCTTTCCAGGTGAAATGGAGGAACTGGAGGCCCAGTGGCTGACAGGAATTTGCCACAATGAAAAGAACGAGGTGATGTCCAGTCAGCTGGATGTGGACAACATGGCTGGGGTTTTCTACATGCTGGCCACTGCCATGGGACTCTCCCTCATCACATTTGTCTCTGAGCATCTTTTCTATTGGAGGCTCAGATACTGTTTCACTGGGGTCTGCTCTGGAAAGCCAGGTCTTCTTTTCTCCATCAGTCGGGTAAGGACCGGTGTGCGGACAGGAGGTGCATGTTTATGACATGCGAGCGTGTAAAACCAGCACTCTTTAGCCTATTTTGTGGTTTAGATTTTTAATCAAAATGAGACATGTTGGAATAACAATAGTCCAAAAGTCAACTCACAGAAAATAGGCTCATGAGTGTGTGGAGTATGTGGCTGTGTGAATATGCATCTGGGGTGGTTTGACTGGGGGGTTAACAGTGGTTGTCTTCAAGGCTACAAGGTGCAGTAAAGGAATGCATCTCTACAGGGGGCTAATGCTGCGTTACTGAGGTCAGACAGGCCTGTCAGCTTTCTTATAAGCAGAATAAGGGAGCAGCAGACCATGCACATGCATGCAGAGAAAGAGGGTAAGCTAAGAAACTGAGTGAAACAAGAGGAGAGGAGGGAGGGCTGCACAAAGGAGGATGAGAGGGAAAGATGGGGATGCAGGCAGGAGGGGGGATCACGAGGCAGCCCTGAGTAGTGACAAAAATAGATCCTAATTGCAGAATGTTTTGGGGTAAAATCACAGCAACTCAGGCTAAATCAATCTATTCTTTCTCTTTCTGCTAAAAGGTCAGCATTCTCCCTGGTTGTGTGTGAGAACAGAAGACATGGACGTGCATCCTAAAAGCGCTGCAGTGTCTCTGCACTATTTTCGAGGCAGTGTGTGACTCTTTTTGCAAAGTTCTCAGAGGAGGGTAGTGAAGATGGAAGAGCTTTTGGAAGACAGTGGGGTTCTTGAGAAAAGTGTTACTTTAAAGCCATTCTCGAGAGTTAAAGGTCATCCTTAATGGCCTGTCTTATGTTGATAAGCTCCACAAAACGTGTGCTAAGCGCTTCTTAAGGATGACATTGGAAATGAGGAAATGAACTTGCTGTTGTTTTTCTGAGAATTAAACCATAGAACGAGAGCTCTATGACTTATAGATTGGCAGCTTTGGTTTCTGTATAAAAAGGCTATTTTCTACTTAATCATGGTCAAAGTGATTACTGTTTTTTCAGAAAGAATTTGTCACTAATGGAATCTCGGGGGCATAAAACTATGAGACACAGTGTCACCCACTTCTCATATTATTGTATCAGTGCATTGTTGATTTCACAAATGTTTTCAGATGTAAAATGTAGTTAAATTAATGGAGCTGCTGCAAGACCTGTTTCATTGCATTGCATCACATTTTGTCCATGTGTCTCCTGGAGACTGTTTGTTCTTCAGGGCGTGATGGACAGGGCCTTGTGCTGACAGTGGGGCTAGACATTGCTTTGTCCCTGGTTGGGTTATTTTTTGAGCAATATTCTGTGTGTGTTTTGATGTCTTTGTGTGTTTATGATTCATTCTGAGTCCTTTTTATTTAAGCACTTCTAAGTTATTATGTTGTTTTACTACATCATTAAATAATTAAACACTGTTTCAAGATTGTGTTATCGGTGATAAAAGACTGCATTGGTTGAGTCACTGCCAATTCAGTACGTTTCAGTAAAACATACAGAGCACAAATATGTTTGGCTAGACTGGATAAGTAATTACTATTATGTTTGTCTCTCTCCATTTCTCTTTCAATCCCTCATTATGTTCCATTCTTCATGGAACATTCTTCATTTTTCTTATTCATCTTTTCCTTTCATTTTCTTCTGTCACCTTTCTTCAATTTTGTTTTGTCTCCCCTCCTTCTCTCCTCCATTCCACATGTTCATCCATATGTCTCTGTGCAGGGAATCTGGAGTTGCATCCATGGCGTTCACATTGACATGAAGAAAAAGACAGATATGGAGTTTAGCCCTCAGGACAAAATGCTTAAACTCATTAAGTCAGCCAAACAGGTAACCAACATGTCTAACCTGGGTGGCTCCCGCATGAACTCGCCCAAACGTGAGTTTATGCACTCAGCTGGTCCCATGATCATGGACATGATGGCAGAGAAGGGCAACTTCATTTATGCTGACAACCGAAGCTATGCTCCCAAAGATATGATCTACGGGGATACCGGTGACCTGCAGACTTATCTTGCTAACCGCCACAAAGACCACCTTAACAACTACATCTTCCAAGGAGGCCAGCATCCTCTGACCCTGAATGACACCAATCCCAACACAGTGGAAGTGGCAGTTAGTGCAGATGCAGTCCAGACCAATGCCAAGCCGCCCCGAACCCTGTGGAAGAAGTCTGTGGACACGCTCCGTTCTGTGCCACCTGGGCCTCCTCCGATGCCTGACATGCTGATGCCAGATCCACGAATGTCGATGAAGACGCAGCGCTACCTCCCTGAGGACACAGCCCACTCTGATATCTCTGACTGTTCCAGCAGGGCGGCCTCTTACAAGGACCCAGAAAACAACAAGCATCTGAAGCCCAAGGACAACTTAAAAAAAAGATCGGTGACGTCAAAATACCCAAGGGACTGCAGTGAGGTAGAGCTGTCCTACTTAAAGACTAAGCAGGTCAGCAGCGGAACCAACCAAACAGGGAGAGGAGGAGGAGAGAAAATATTCACCATCGACTCAGACCGAGAGATGAACCTGCACACAGACCCCGTTCACTACCGTGAGAGTTGTGGCCTCAGTGCCGATGATTTGGATTACCCCGAAATCTACTCTGACCAGAGTGACAACTACAGGAAGTGTGAGCAGCCCATCATTCATCTGAACTCCTCGCCTTTGCATCACAAAGACTCAGATCTTCTACCAGATCCAACTTACTCCAAACATTACAGCCTAAAAGAGAAAAACCTTCCCCTGTCCCCTCATGAATCAATTGATCGCTACAAACAGACACACTGCCGTTCCTGTTTGTCCAAAGTGACCCCTGGCTACCCACCAGGAGGTCCATATACACCTGCTGCTTCTGCTTCTGTCACGCGCTCACCCTATAATCGCTGTGAAGCATGCCTCCACACAGCCAACCTGTATGACATTAGTGAGGACCAGCTCCTCACAGATCCCTTAGTTAGTCCCACCATGCACCACCAACAGCAGCAACAACCAGACGAAATGTTTGGGCTGTACTGGCCTCAGATGGATGGGCCGCATGTTCAAAAGAGAAACCGCTTGAGGCTGAGTCGACAGCACTCCTTTGACAACATCATGCTAGAAAAGCCCAAGGATGTGGACCTGGGCCGGCCGGCACGTAGCGTCAGCCTCAAGGAGAAGGATCGCTTCCTGGACTCCGCATCTGACTCGCACTATGAGAACCTCTTCGGTGTGCGTCCCTACTCCGGCAGACTGTTTAGCACCGGGTCCAGATCAACGATGTTTAACCACAACCTGGAGGAGAGCAAGAGGAGTAAGTCTCTGTACCCGGCCCATGGCTCGGAAAACCCTTTCCTCAGCCACTCGCTGAGGAATGACACCAGCAGCAGACTGGTCCATGGGCGTAGCGCCACTGATATTTACAAACAACTGGCGGTGGCCTCACCTGCAGCGGTCCTAGGAGGGGCCCCCATCAAACCACGCAATGATGCGAACAATCTCCGCTCTTCTGTTAAATCCACCACTTCATACTGCTCACGGGACGGGCGGATAGCGAATGACATGTACAATAAAGAGCATGCGATGCCTTACTCAGCCAATAAGACTAATGCATACCCAGCCCCACGTGGCGTCCTGAACTCAGCCCAGTTCAACAATAGACGGGTGTATAAAAAAATGCCCAGTCTGGAGTCCGATGTTTAGCTGCTATAAGAAATATGTTCTCTCCTCCTTACTTCTCTCTGGGTTTGTATTATAATTTATCTACTCTGTTATCCACCTAGGGATGCCATAGCCACACCACGGTCTTCAACACTGTAATCCAAACAAACTCGTGTCCACTTGGGTATGATGGTACTACTTCTACTACTACTACGACGACTACTCTCTTTAGTAGATGAAATCACCTTTTCTGTCCATGCTCCACCATGTACCAGTGAGTTGGCTCCAATAGGGCACTCTCTGATAAGGTATCTGGGTGTAAATGGGAGGGGACTCATTAACCCCCTAAGTTCTAAACAAAGGCAGGGAATAACATAGTCCTATTAGTGGCACCAAGGAGGGTTAAGATGGAGTAAAGGGTGATTCCTGCATGAGTTGTTGGGCAAGTGGCAGTTGATTTGTGATTGAAATGAGGAAGTGACAAGGGGGATTGGGCAAATGATATGGGAGGGGGATTAGAGGCAATGAGAGAGAACCTCTCTTTCAAACCCTGCTCTTTCTCCCCCTTTTTCCTCTCCACCTTCACTGTCAAGCTTAGGGCACGCTAGTAGAGGAGAAGGAGTCTGACAGGGAGACCAGATGGGCATGTTTGATGTCACCGCCAGACATGGAGGCATCCCAGGAGGGCAGGGGCATCACAGTGAGCTAATCCAATGATCTGCTACTTGTTACTCTGACAAATATGACCACCGAGACACCTTGAGGGAGGTGGGAGAGCAAGAGAGAGGGAGAAAGGAAATCAAATGGTACTGTGTGCAGTAGTGATGAGAAGCTGAGAATAATGTAGGTGCTATCACTGAATAACATTTACAGATTGACAAAATGACAAAGAACAAATGAACAGGAAATCTGAGGCAGTTGCTGGCCATTTCATTTGTGGCACTGCACATAGAAAAATAATTGCAAAGTACTGCTTTGTTATTCTATTATATTATAAGATTTATTAGGGATTTTGGCATCTGGATCCCCCTGTTTAGGAATTTAGTGTTTGCTTATTTGGTACTGCAATAGCCATTCATTTCAAAACCTCTCTCCCACATGTGCTTTTGGAAAAAACACATCAAGAGCATTAAATTATTTTGCATGTGATGATTTTCTCTTTTTTTCTGTGCCAGAGGAGAGGAAATAAACACACACTCTCTGACATATGAGACATGTTTCTGAAAAGGGACTGTGTCTCACCTGTTATGGTGGATGGATACTTGTACAATCAAAACCTTGATCCTTGACCTTTGTGCTTAGTAAATCGGTGTCATGCTACGGTTCCTGCTGCAGAAGAGCAAGAGAATGGTGGAAGAGAGGAGAGCAAAGAAGAGATAGCAAAAGAAAAAGATAAATGACAGCTATGTCACCTTGTCTGCATTGGCGAGGGCCGCGCATTGATGTGCTTCTGTCTTTTGACTTCACTACCACTGAGAAACAGGGTATAAACTATGAAAACTACTGACAATTCCTTCCTTCCTCCCTCCTTCCTTCTTCCCTTCCTCAACCAACATGACACATCACCAGAGTGTTGAAAAAATATATTTCGAGCCACATCATTTTGTTTTTTGGAACTTTGTAAAATCTAACTTTGGTTCATTGGTTGGCACAGCAGTCACAGTGCTGTAAAGTATCTAACCACTAGAGTCTAGCTGGGGATTGTGTTAATTACTGATCATTGATTACTGGTGATCCACAGTGAGCCAGGGCTTTTAAGGATCTGAAGACTACTTCAGATGAATCCCTTGTTTAACTTCATAGAATGGTTTGAATTGGGATGTGGGATGGGATGGGCGAGACAAGATGAAGAGGGACGAAGCCAAGGAGGCTTCACTGTGAAGTGCTCATCAATCAGGTATCCATCGTAATGTGAAGCCGTGTCTGCATAAGCTTGGAGTGTTAACCAGGGCATTTGGGTCCTGATCAGGCTGTTTACTCTTTTGTTTGTTTCTTTGTTCTTTTTGATAACTGCAGAAAAAGACTTGCACGTGCACACAGTTCTATGTACACACGTGCCCACAAAACACTTTGGTTGTAGCATTATACTGTACAAATTGTACAGTGAAAAGAAAAATCATGTAACCACCTTAACTGATTTGCTTGATTGATTGGATTCGCAAAAGCCAAATCGATTCAAATAAAATACCTCAGGATGATTCTGTGCATTTTGGGGGAGCTTCAACCGTAGCAACCGAACATGATGTGGCGCAGATTGTTTTATAGAAAAAGAAATTTAACAAAGAAAGAAAACCAACAATGCCCTTTCTACTAGCTGAGTCGAACTTTTCTCCTTTAGATGTTTACCAGTCCAAGGTCTTCCAGCTGAGCTCTCTGCCTGAGCTCCTACAACCCAAGTAAGGAGAGAAGAAGAGGAGGGAAAGGAGGGATGGAGATAGGGCTCAGTGAGGGGTAGAGCTCCACTCCTCGTCAAACTGAGTATCTTTAACAGAACGGGAGATGTTACTTAAACATCCAAAATCTGAAAAGCTGCCCTCACATGGAATATTCTAACTGGATTCTCCCTCTCTCCTCTCTGTGGTTTTTAATGGCAGTTGAATGCATTAACCAATGTGTTTCAATTGAAGCTTCATCTTTAACAACCATATCGCCCTTTCTGTACTCTTGGAACCCTTGGAATCTTTTTGCTTCCCCAGTGTTGACTGATGAGCAACATTTGTCCTTGTTTGCATTTTATCTGCATATTTATTATTATTATTATTCCAATCATATTTATCACCACCTGCTGCTTGCGTGAGCTGACAAGTGAACAATATGCACATGTAAAAATATCAAACGGCACCCTCGCGTTTTATGAACTCATGATTTGTTCTATTTGTTCTACTTTTACAGAACTGTCATGTAAACTAAAGATGTTTTATGTTCAAATGCACACACAGACACACCCTTGTGATGACAGCCTTGCTCTTTTTAATGGAAAAATGTATTTTAATTACATTTAATGATAAATAATGAGGTGATGGCATGCAACCCCAGATGTAACAGTTTTAATGTTTTATGTTTTCTTTTTTATTTGTTTTTTGTTTGTTTGCTTTCTTACGACCACTAATGCATTGTAACCAGGTGTGCGTGTAAACATATTTGAAAGGAAAAAATGATCTATGTTTAACATGATGAAGATGCTGCTGCTGTTTTGGGAGGGGGGAGGCGAGGACCTGGCCCTAGTGCAATGTCCTCATTGGTTCACGGGTCATTATCAGGCCATGTTTTGCCCGACGGACTCACAGCTCAGGGGTCAGGGCTTGACTTGGTATGGTGGGACATCCTTGCTCTTCCTCCACTGGCGGGTGAGAATTACTGTATCACCAGCTCTGCTTCTCTCTTCCCTCTTCTTCATCTGTAGTTCTCCCTTCAACTATAAAGAAGAAAAAGAAAAAAGCAACCCTCTACTTTGAGTCCGCTATCCCTCCAAAGATACGAGATCGCTTTCTTTATGGTTTGCTGTAAGAATAGAGCTTTTTTTTTTTTTAAACTAATACTTCCTCAAAGACTTTTAAGGAACTATTTTGAATATATTTAGAAATGACACCTGTATACATCGCTTGTAAATTCATACTGGAAGACATCATCATGGAGAATTATAAATGATAAAGAGTAAAAACAATATTTTTTGTGTGAATTTCACAGGAGCTCTTCTGTACAGTGGCACTGTTTCTCTCTCTCTCTCCCTCACTCTCTTTCTTTCTCTCTCTCTGCAGAGCGACTAGAATAAAACTTCACCATTCACAAGGTTGGCTGTCCTGTCAAAATTCACAACATACACACTGTTTTAAAGTAGCTAATTTTGTCAGTTGATGCTGCTGATTGATTATTTTACAGGGAATGAGGAAAAGTGCTTTTCCTTTGACTCAATTTATTTTATTTTATTTTTTGCAGCTGAATATACGATTTTCTATCAGTGTGTCTCTTCAAGAAGCAGAATCAATGCACACTTAGTAAGAGGTCTGAGGTTTTTTTATCATGAAGGCAATAGGCTCTGAAAAAGGCCTACAAACTACCTACAAACATCATTGAATTCTTCCTCTATAGAGTGCACCTGTCTCATTCCTGTATCTGCTGTAAGGCTATTCTTTTCTGTTTTGTCTTTTTTCGATAATGCAGGTTACACATGAATTCTAACAATTGCTGCAAAGCTACTGAAACCAGAACCTGAAGGCTTAAGAGCTACATTTTAATACTTCAATCACAGTTTTATTTTGCTATTCAGATTAATAGACATTTAAACATTGACAGCAACTTTTACTTTTCAATGCCAGTGCTTTTGAAGTTACTGTACTAATTTCCACCATGAATGCAGCTATGTGGGAAGCATCCTGGTGCCACATAGTAGTCTATGACAGGACTGAAATTCGACATGCTATGTGTCCTTCCACCACCAGGAGTTCAGGGCACCCTACTTCTGAACAATGCCACTGCATGGACTGTAAGTAGAATCCTTTATTCTAATTCCTAGTAACCCTGTGCTGTTTGCAGACACAACGTGTCTTCAGAATGTTCTTTTTCAGTCCGTAATGTGGCCATCCACCAACTGTCGTGTTTTTCTTATACCTTAGAGTGTGTGGTGGGAAACAAATGCTCCCCAGTGATCAGTAATGATGCCATTAATATGGAAAAGGAGAAAATGTTTAGTTCTCTGGTATTTTTTAAGTCACATGTGCACAGATGATGGTACCGGTGTCATGACGATTTTCTGACCTTGCATACACTTTGCCTTGTGTATGTGTCTGACTGTCCATTAGGGCAGCAAGAGGCTATTTGGGCTTCAGCTACATTTACCTTCTGCCCCATTGCTTCTCTCCCTTTGCCACACCTTACACCACTACCTCACCCTTGGAAGTGCAGTATATAACCATTAAATTTCATCTGTTTCCTTCCTTCCATAGACCAATTCCCTCTCTAACAAACACCTCTGCATCATTCCACAATCAGTCCTATTTCCACTCTTTTTTCCTTTTTAATGCTGATTCACTGTGGGTTTCCATTCACAATACTGTTACATCTGCTAAATGTAGCTGGTATAGAACGAACCAGTGAACATTTAAAAACCTTTGCTTCATAGAGGAAGCTGGAAAATTCATTTGCTACATTGCAACATCCTGCCTGTCATGATACATTTATGGTAAGTGTGAGCAGAGACTTGATCCCTATGGCTCTTCCTTGTGCAGGTATAAAACTTTAAACATACAGTATACGCACTCACCTACCCTAAAACATGTTGAACAGCTGAAACTAGTATAAATGTAAAGTATTTGCACATACAATGCGCAATGTGAAATACTTTGTCTGGAGCAGCCTTTTGTTCAGCATTTTGGCAGCCCAGCTGTCCACCCCAACCTCTTCCATAGGCAAACGTTGCCTGCTTAGCGCTCGTTATAATTATTATGGGCACTAGAGGGTTTTGTCTTATGAACATTTACAGACTTGTGAGGTTGAGATTAACAGTCTACTCAAATAGATTGTTGTTCTTTTGTGTAGGGGCAGACAGAAGGAAGAGCGAGAGAGAGAAAAGAGCACTTGTTTATTTAGTCATTTCCCATTCTCCCCTTTGGTCCTCAAAAAATCACCTCCCATTTGATTCTGAGAGACAAACAATTGGCACGGTCAGCTCCCCCCGGCCTTCCCAGCTTCTGTGTGTGTCTGTCTAGTGTGTGATTATGTTCACAGGTGTGGACTAAAATACAAAGATTTTTCTAGCAAAAGCTCTCCTGCACCACATATATCACCTGGTAGGTTTAAAGAATCTTATCGTCAAAAACACATTCACACGCTCGGGCCAACAAAACACACAAATATTCTCAACTGTTTTAAAGGAAAGAAGAAATAAGTCTGATTATTAGTAGGGGAAAAGGATCAAAGTGCTGAGATGCAGCTCAACCTTGCTGTCAATGTTCTGCACACATGAAAAACCCTGTGAAGAGCCTGTGAAGGGTGATTGTCAGCACACTTCTCTGAAAATGCAATATCACTGGTTAGTTCAACATGTGTGCACTGAAAGCACATGAATTTATTCAAGATGGGTCATAAATTAAGAAAATCTTACAACCAAATAAAGGATACCAGACAGGTTTGACAGATATCTTTGTTGTGAGGGTGTCTTTGTTGAACCTATCCTTTAAGATGTATACCTTAAAGGATAACTCCTAAAGCCATCCTAATGTAAAAGATATGGAACAAAACCCTTCCTCCTGTGAAAAAAGGAGTCTAGTGTTTAACCAAAGCTAGAAAGAGGTTTCAGCATTTGCAGTTAGTCAAATCAAGTATCTTCTACAGTTACAGTGGGCATAGTCCACACGCCATAGCTTTAAGAAACCTGCGTTGTGGCAGAATGATGGCTGTGTATTTTGTCCCATCACTTACACTGAGATTGTGTTAGAAATCAATCTCTTAACGGCCAGCAGCGACAGGAAGACTGATTATGACCACTGCTAACTCCTTCATTATACATGTGGACAGGATCATTGTATTAAGATAGACTTGCAATCCATCTCTTAACTTTAAAACAATGAAGCTCAGACCATGCTAGATTATTGCTCGAATAGTGTTGCTCAGATGTTAAATTGTTGGAGCTTGTGAGATGTTTTTGAGCATTTGCCATTTTGCAGTTTTCACTGTGTTATAATGCTTAATGTTAAAACAACAGAGGTGCACTCTGTAACCGTTTGGGTCCATGTCTAAGGTAGATGTAACCAGGGACACACCAGCCAAAAGTGCTCGGATTTTACTAGGCTACTACACATCAACCTCATCAGGCCGGGCTACTATATATCAGACATACATAAAAGAGTTACTACACAAAACCAAAATGTTGCTCTTGAGTTCAGCATGTAAAAGAAAAAGAAAGAAGGGGCTCAGACATGAGCGTCTGTCCTGTAGCATGCACTAGGCTCAGCTAAAAAACAAAATGTGGTCTGATGATGTAGCTGGACTCGGATCTAAGCAACACAGTATGTCAGAAAGGTACATTTTATAAATTCAGCTGTTACAACTGCATTACATTAAGACAAACAAAAGCAAATGCAGTCTCATAACTCTGATTTACTTACTTATGAAATGGGTGTTAAAAACAACATTTATTAAATAAAACAAATGTGGTTAAATTATAAATCCCATAAAATAAGAACATGATATTATACATAGTACCTCTGATAAAAATAACCTTGTAATTATATGAACTTTAAATTATCAGTATAAGTGAGCAAAGACTACAACAAATGCACGACGTCTGTGAATATGGCGTGGTTGTACCCTGTGTGCATGTACAGTCTCGGTGGTTTAATGTTGTCACACTCATGATGACGCTATACACATTACTCACTGACATCAATGGCTCCCAAAGCCTCAAACCAAGAAGGAAATAAAGGGAGATGAACTCAGGTACTGTAGAGTAATTGTAATCCTGTTCTCTTAGCTGGCAGCGACTACTGACCATGGTTTTAATGAGAAAATGGGGCAAAGACAAATCCCAAATGAGTGAGCCAGTAGAAATAACTGCTGCTGTGGCTGGACTAAGCCCCCGCTGTTCCTAAAGCACTATTTAAATCCGTAGCTGCCGTTTCACCAAGGTGAAAATGGTTTTCTTCCTGCTAATGTATTCTGAACTGTCAGGGTATTTTTCTCCTTTTGGCTGGCAGCTTTAATGAACTGTAAAACGGGAATTCTTTGACACTGCATTTTGTACATTCAGTGTTTTAAGTATTTTAAATAATATCCCACATGCTGCATGTTTTTTTTTCCTGCAGGAATCTCCAAAATTTATAGTTGAGTCCAACGTGGCGTTCCTCTCTAACACCCTGGTTGTTTATGTAAGCACTTTTCTTCTCCATGCCAGTAATTTCTTTAGCTTAAAGCTACACACACACTTGTTAACCACAAACAACTTGGGACGGCCTTTGGGGAACAGTAGCCACATTCACATGCAGTATAAATGTAACTGAGGAGAGGATTTAAAAAGCTCTTCCACTGAAGTGTTAGAGACTTCACAGGAATTTAATGAACCTGGTGAAGTCTTTACCCCTAGTCCCTGTTAATATTGACCCAGGCTCTCAGCCGCTCTGCTGCAGATTTTTTACTGCCACACCAACAGCAGTATGTGTTACTGCCATAGTTAATTTCAGGCCACAGTCAAGCTCCATTGTCATAGTAAATTTATTTTCAGACTGTGAATTGTTTCCACTGGCAGTGTTATGCATTTAGAAAAGTCTCATTTATAAATAACATCAGTATATTACATCTAATTTAAGAATGACTGTCCCCCAGTAACCTATAAAATAAGTAATCACTTGACTTTGAAATTCTTTGCTGGCACTGTGTGTATCTCGGGTTGCCCTCACATGTCAAACACTGGCTGCTCGTTGTTTTGGTATAAGAACGATAATGGGATCTGATGTATGACTCAGTAAAAAGCGGAGACAAAAGACAGATAGGAAGAGATGATGGAGAGAGAGAGAGATGGATGAATGGATGCAGGGGTAAAATGTTTTGCATTGTTTCGGTTAATGGATTTGTGATGCAACTCACTGAGGATTGATGACAGCTTGGTAATGTCTGCTAATGGAGGAAGAAAGGCAGGAAGGAGGGACTGGAGGAGCAGAGAAGAGAGAGAGGAGGGAAAGGTGTAAACAGAGCATTTATACTGTCATTTAATTGGAGAACCAGTTTTCAGCCCAGCTAAAGGTTGTGTGAGTGCACCTGTAGAAGCTCAGCATTCATGTTAAACCACGTTTTGACGCTATGTCTAAACTGCATCTGCTTAGGCTAACCGGCTGTGGTCATGATACAACAAATAGGCTCCAGCCATCAAGATTAGGAAATCAGATTAGGGGGCATGTTTGTGTTAATTTGTTTCTGATATCAAAGCTAATGAAAGCCATTAACTTAGATAATTTGGAGCTCATTTATAATACAACTGCTGCATAGCCAACTGAGTTGAATTATAACCCAAAGGTCAATGTTAATGTCTCATGTTAGAAGACAATACTTTAAATGAACTACAGATGTATCCCCCATAAGTGTGTCTGTGTGTTTGTGGGATGTGTGGTTTCATTTTTAGTATTACTCTGTGTATGTGTGAGGCAGGTGAGCCACAACATGTGAAATGTTGTTGCACCTCTGTCTAAGTTTGTATGTGTGTATGCATGGGCACATGCACATGTTACCTAATCTGTCTTCCTACTGTCTATAGCTGTCGAGTGCTGTAATGTCAGTAATAAAGTTAATTGGGTCTCTGGTCCCCACTGCACAAAACATTTTGTGTGTAGGTGTGTGTGTGTATGTGTTTTGCTGGCTGGTTTGTCTGGTTTCAAATAATGCTGAGACTCTAATTCACCACAGGGGAAATCTTGATCGAGACAAAAACAGAAAAGCTGTCCTTTTTTTTTTTTTTTTTTTTGTCTTTATGAGGACAGTGTGTGTGTTCCAGGTCAGTGGCAGCAGAGATGTCCAGGGACACATGACTCTACTTCTGGAGGTTGTTACTCTTTTGATTGAACATGTTTATGTCATCTTATCTATCACTTGTTGGTACACTTAACGGCTTAGGGATAGTCAAAAAAATGTGTAAGTGAACCATATTACAATACTACATGTACACAGAAATTAACATCCATCCACTCATTATCTATACGTGACAACCCTAACCACTAATTAACATACAGTGGTAAAGCTTTTTAACATAAACTCTAAAGCTAAACTACAGGGTGGGCCATGGAAAAGTAGCCCGCCTTCGATGGTAGTATGAACAAGCAAGTGGATTGTTTCGGAGGCAGGCTACTTTTACGTGGCCCACTCTGTACAGTGAGGTGTCAATAGTTTTTGAGTTATTTGTTCTTCTTTGTCTGGTGCCAGCTAGGGCCTCCTGGTGAGTTAGGATAGTGAGCTTATTTTGAACCTTGGTGTTTGCAAGCCACAGAGTGAAAATGCTAGTGCTCCCGGTGGGTCTGAGGGTCCTGCTACTTCTGTGGAGAAGATGGACAGATGGATGAGTCAGGAAACATGTTTTTTTTTCATGGGAGGCCAGTGTTAAATTCCATTTTAATTCTTTTTTTTAATCTGTGAGCGTTTTCCACCTGGCTTCATGTGTACAGTATAAGGCAAGTTTCATTAAGTGCTGTTTCAGATGCTTTGTGGACATGATGTGACTTGATGATTGTATTGATCTGTTCTGGTTGTATGATTATGACCCTTTGGGTGTACAGTAATATCACTACGAGCTTTGAAGCCATAGAGATTGACTTTAACCTTCCCATCGTCACCTCCAACACAGTTACAGACCTTTTCTTTTATCACACTACGCTACAGTCACAGGCCTGAAACACCAGTCAAACCTGGAATAACTATACAGTTATTAACTTTGCAGTGTGATTAAAGGACTAATAAATATAGGTTAAAAATTGGTTTATCAAGGGATTATTGAATGGTGTTGGATGGTGGTGAGAAAACCAGTGCAACTGCAAAATGTTTTGTGACGGTGCCAGCAGCCAACCAGCTGAGTTGGTGGGCTCTCTCATTAGCCAATGGGTTGTTTGTCCCTCCCTTGGGAGCGAACATCCTGTTTGAGCTCGACATCCTGTGATACACTTGGGAGCCTCGTGGTGCATATGAAATTCGGAGAACTTGTGAAACGGGAATATTGTGGAGTAGAGATTTTGAGCTGAAGGAGGGTTGTGGACCGGCCTGGACCTGGGAACCCACACCTTTGTGTTTTGCTAGCACATGCTACCCCGCATTGGTGAGTCATATGTGTGTGTGAATGAAATGCATTAGCTTGGCTGCTACGTACCGCTAGCCACGAGCTAATTAGCGCTAGCTACCTGTTAGTGTAACCTGAATGTTACTTGAAGATTTGTTCCAGATTTGTGAAGATTTTAAGCTGTTATATTAGTACACAGTTATTTGTTAATGTTCTATGGTGCTAATAAGGTTATAATTGATGTTTCTACTGTAATGAGAGTACAAAAGTGCACTTTGCCTGGACTTTAGTGCTTGGTAACACTTGGAAGGAATGAGATAAGCGGGACTTTACAATGTACTTGTGAAGGTATTTTACTTCCATTGAATGTGTGTATTTACTATGCATGGTTACAAATGGTAATTGTTAATGTCCAATATGTGAAGGTTAATGTTGTACAACTTGAGAAACTAACTTGAAGTGCTCGATAGTAGCTTTTGGCTATGTGCAGTTAGTTTATAGTGAAATCAAACTATGGTGTTCTGGCCTTTCCATAGGTCAGGTTTTTTGTGAGC